TTCTATTCATAATATCATCTTTAGCTCTGACAGCATCCTCAACACGAACAAAATTAACAAAACCACACTCTTTGTCAGGTAAAAGTCTAAGGCTTTCAATGGACCCATATGGTGAAAAAAGTTGCATAAGGTCCTGGGTGCTAAGATTTGGATCAATATTTCCAATCCATAAAGAACGAGTTGGTGTCTGTGGTGGAGGAGTACCTTGCTGAGAATGATCAGAAGTATGATCACGCGGGGTAGAAACACCAGATCGTGGCAACTTTTTTTTATTGTTGGGGAAGTTTAGAAATGTTAACGATTTAAATTTAAGTAAAAGAATTACGAAAATTTAATATCATACCTCCATATCATCATGATCCACTATCAAATAATCATCATCGATGTGGATTGCTTGTTGTTGCTTCTTTTTACCTTCCATAGCGCCAACGAGCATCATTCCCAACAATTGTTCACCCCCAAGAGATCTAGATGAGCTTGTAGTTCCCACACCTTTATTGGAATCAGATAAATCATTGTACATTTGACTGTTTCTACTTTGACGCATCATCATAATATCATTAGGCAAATCTAAAATTCCCAAACTAATGGCGCGAGGTCTGGAATGCGTTTGATGGAATTGTTGAACTGCAGCAGAACCCGGAGGAAATAAATTATTTGTGGTCATTGTAGTGGTAACAGGTGGTTCATCATATTTTGCGGTTGCAGAAACAGAATAAGAACGTATTCTGTTTGCATCCCTACGAAGAGCAGGAATATTTGGAATACTACCACCAGAAGAAGTATAGGAAGGAGCAGAATTTTTCATTTCAACTTTAATTTGCGGAAGGTTACCAGAACTTGTAGAAATTTTTGACAGTCCTGAAACACCACCATGTTCATGATCATCTAAACCTAAATAATCTAAGGTTTTACCAACAGTGTTATTTTCATCACCACGAAGCAAATCACCCGTAGTAGGAGTTTGCATAGGTGGAGTTGGGGGACCGTTCGACTCACTTCGATGATCTGACCAACCAGAAGTAAAAATAGATGGTCCAAACGCAGCAGAAAGAGATGAAGATGGTAATGTAAGTGACCCTGAACGAAGACGAGAATTGGCTTTAGGAGGAGTAAGTAAATTCGTGGCAGACGAAGGATTCATGGATGAATTAGAAATTGACAAAGAGGAAGAGGGATTATGCCCATGAAGAATAGGAGGACGTGACAAAGAAGAAGGTAAAGTATCCGCACGAGTCCGACGAAAAGAAGAAGGATAAGAAGAAAGATGGTCTTGACCACTACCATTTGAGGTAGAAGCTTTAGTACCAACTGACTTCAAATTTAAAAATTCAAGGGATGCACTAGCAGCAGAATCTGAAAGGAGGGTTCCATTATTAAAAGCACCATTTGTAGAGAACGATGGAGGAGGAAGAGCACCGGAACGATAAGCAGAAGTGATACCTTCTTCCGCTTGAATTTCTCTAGCTCTTTGATTATAAAAATTGAGAACATTAATAATGACAGCTAAAAACGTGTAACCCATACGCTAGTAACACAAATTTTTTTTTTAAGCAGCACGCAATTTCTCTGAAATGCAACAACATAAGTTTTGGTCAGCTTAACAAACCTACCTTTTAGAAAAATATCTCGTTTCGTGTTGAGGCGAACTACCGGAATTGTTTCCGGCAGAGTATGAATCTTTGTCCGACTGTTGCGTGGTCATTCTTATCAAAGCTCTTTTTTTTTTTTTTTTTTTTTGTTATAAATTAGTAGCGCATCAGATTTTGCCCAGCAAAAACGTGATTGGTAATTAATAAGCCCAAGGATTTGTTTTTTAAGGCAACAGAATAAACCCGACTAACCGCAGGTCGTAAAGTCTTTAAATATTATACTATATGGTTTTTTGTGTAACGGGTGAATGGGAATTGGTCTTGGGAAATTACAACACCCACTGAAATTAGTACAGATTAGTAAACAGAAATAAGCAATTAACTTTATATATAGGGGATTTTATTATTAGGGGTACACTGAGAGCGATAAATATTATTAATATTAAGTAGAAGATTATATTAAAGATTAAGAAGTAGAGAAGCTAAAAAACAACCCTCCACCGTAAAACTTAAAATTAAAAAAAAAAGAACAAATAAAAAAGAAACTGTGTAAGAAAAAAAAGCCCCAGCGAAAAATATCAGTACACAAAACCCTGAAACCAAGCATAAATCGTGCTTTCACTATACTACCCAAAACAGTGAAAAGTTCCGAATTGGTTATGTTGATATTTGATAAGGTCATCACAATAATAGCATTCAAACAACAAGATCAACCAATGAAATGATTTCGCAATTATTATTCATAAAAGAAATTATTCCATTCTTTCCATTCTTCCTTGAAACCTTTTTCGCTTTTCGTACAGAAAAGTTTTTTTTTTTTTTTTTTCTTTAATTCTTTTTTTTTTTTCCTTTTTCCCTAAAAAAAAAAAAAAAAACCAAAAAAAAAACAAAGAAAAAAAAAAAAAGGAGTTACTAACATAATGTTCATGCTCGAAACATCCGATTTT